GAGGACAATTAATCTCATTAAAACGCCCTCAGATTATTTTATATTCTTTAAACACTGACACACTCACCCAGAAATCGGGGCCGTTCGAGTGAGCGGAGCCACAAAGTCTCTCCATCTGTGAAAACAAAGCAAAATGAGGGACGTGTCAGGAGGAGCCTCAGGGATGAAGCCCATAAAAATATGGATTTCTCCCCCAAAACTGGGCAGGTTTATTAATCCCGGGTGAAATTCCCTCTCCCCTCCTAAACCACGGAGCCGCGTGAGTTCGGCTCAGCTCTACGTCATCGTAACCCGATGTTAAGAGAATTCTCCTCCTTTTCTTCCCTTATCTAGAAAGAAAAAAGAATTATACATCATTTTTTTGCGGCTCAAACCGAAATAGGAAGCTCTTTTTACCAAACTCACTATTATTTTCCAGCCAGATGGGTGAGAAAGACCAGTCCAGATTATTCTGCTGATTTCTTACGGACTTTGCTTTCCTTTGGGCGCCTTCAGCTGGGGGGGATTTATGTCCCTGACTCTGCAAAATGTCACATTTGGTGGCATTTTCTACCCAACAAGGGCATGCGACGGCCCCTCCGGACAGATTTCTGCCCAAATTCCCATTTTCTTAAAGGGAGGTTTCCATAATTCTCCAAATCAGAATGTTTACCGGGTAAAAATTCAAGTAATTTTCACCCTACCCTTGGCTTGTTGATTAGCAGCCAGTTTTATAAGCAAAAAGCCATTTTTCTCCCACATTTTGGAAGATATAATTCCTGGTGGGGGTTTATAGCCCAATTCTGAGGAAGAGGAAGAAGAATAAAAATAGGAAGGAGCACAAATTTGGAAGCAGGACTGTGGAGCTGCCATCTGACAGAGAAACCCAAGGGGTTAAAACTGATGCCGGGGACAATTTCCCTGAGCAACCATGGGAGGATTTAGAAAGAAAAATGAAAAACCTACAGAGTTTTTTTAGCTTCCTATTTTCTGTCGATTTCCCCGCACCTGGGGAAAGGGAAAAAAAAACCACAAACCAGCCCCAAATTGTTGTTCTGAACATTAAAATGGGTATCAGCTTCGTACATCCTTAACCATCAGCTTTCTCCAAGGCTGATTAAGCCTCTTGGATTTTAAAATCCCCGTAACTTTGCCTTTTTTTAGTCGTTCCGTCGCAGGCTCTTCCCCATTACGACATAAAATTGATGCCAAACCCGTAGAATCTCGTCAAGTTAATAACTGTTCTGCTGGCTCTGACTGAATTTCTGCTGCCGCGGGGTTTGGGGCTTTGCAGATGAGAAGGGGAGGGCAAAAAAAACCTCTGATTGTTTCACCAGGACAGTTTGGGGGTGACTGACCTGCTGGGGAGCAGCTCTGAGGAGAAAGATCTGGGAGTCCTGGGGGACAACAGGATGCCCAGGAGCCAGCAATGGGCCCTGGTGGCCAAGGAGGCCAATGGCATCATGGGGGGCATCAGGAAGAGCGTGGAGAACCTCAAGGGAGGTCATCCTGCCCCTCTGCTCTGCCCTGGGGAGGCCCCAGCTGGAGCACTGGGACCAGTTGTGGGCTCCCCAGTTCCAGAAGGACAGGGAACTGCTGGAGAGGGTCCAGCAAAGGGCTACAAAGAGGATGCTGAGGGGCCTGGAGCATCTCTCTGGGGAGGAAAGGCTGAGGGACTTGGGGCTTTGGAGTCTGGAGAAGAGAAGGCTGAGGGGGGATCTGATCAAGGCCTGGAAATCCTTCCAGGGTGGGGGTCAGGAGGATGGGGCCAGGCTTTTTCCAGTGGTGCCCAGGGACAGGACAAGAGGGAACGGGCACAAACTTGAATATAAGAAGTTCCATCTCAACATGAGGAGGAACTTGTTGACTTTGAGGGTGGCAGAGCCCTGGCAGAGGCTGCCCAGAGAGGTGGTGGGGTCTCCTTCTCTGGAGACATCCCAAACCCACCTGGACACATTCCTGTGGGACCTGCTCTGGGTGACCCTGCTCTGGCAGGGGGTGGGAGGAGATGATCTCCAGAGGTCCCTTCCGACCCCAAATCATTCTGTGATTCTGTGTTAAGGATGGTTTTTTTTTACCCAGTAGTTACCTGACGGCAGAGCCAAGATATTTGCTTATACCTGGGGTATATATTGTGGAGGGTCAGTGTTATAACCACTAAATCACACAAATTACAACTAAATCCAAAAGCTCAGAGTTTTTCTGCACCGTCAGACTCAAGGGAAGGATTTTTCTGAGAAAAAAGCTGTTTTTTTCCTCCATCCAGACTGAGGAACAGCGAAAAAGACCCTCAAGCACCTGCTTTTATTGGTACCACCCCACAGCATCGCTCTCCCTTCTGCAAGGTTTTATTTTATTTACAAAGAGGAGGCACCTTGGCAAAACAAAGCCTAAAGCTCGGCTTGGTGCCTCTTTAACCTCTTTGTAGAAACTTGATTTATTTAAAACCTTCAAAGAAATCCATCTTTATCGAAAATTTGATTTATTTAAGAGCCAAACGTTCTCCACCGGCTTCACCAGGAGATCCCTCAGCGCTCAGAGATGACTGGGATCTGTGAATTGCAACCCATTTGCTCCCCAGGAAGGTAAAAGACTTGGAAAGAGAGAAAATACGAGTTATTTTCAGCTTCATGAAGGCAGGGAGAGCGTGACAATCCCGAACACCACGGCACAGACAAACTTCACCTCTCATCTCCCTCCACAAACCTCCCCAATGCCCCCCAGAACATTTCAATAAATATTACTTACAGCCCCGGCTGCTGTCTCCAAAGGTAAATTACAACTAAATCCAAAAGCCAGGAGTTTTTCTGCACCCTCAGACTCAAGGGAAGTATTTTTTGGAGAAAAAACTGCATTTTTCCTCCATCCAGGCTGAGGAACAGCGAAAAACACCTTCAGGTACCACCCCAAAGCATCGCTCTCCCTCTGCAAGGTTTTATTTTATTTACAAAGAGGAGGCACCTTGGCAAAACAAAGCCTAAAGCTCGGCTTGGTGCCTCTTTAACCTCTTTGTAGAAACTTGATTTATTTAAAACCTTCAAAGAAATCCATCTTTATCGAAAATTTGATTTATTTAAGAGCCAAACGTTCTCCACCGGCTTCACCAGGAGATCCCTCAGCGCTCAGAGATGACTGGGATCTGTGAATTGCAACCCATTTGCTCCCCAGGAAGGTAAAAGACTTGGAAAGAGAGAAAATACGAGTTATTTTCAGCTTCATGAAGGCAGGGAGAGCGTGACAATCCCGAACACCACGGCACAGACAAACTTCACCTCTCATCTCCCTACACAAACCTCCCCAACACCCCCCAGAACATTTCAATAAATATTACTTACAGCCCCGGCCGCTGTCTCCAAAGGTGGAGATTTCACGGACAAGCCTCTCGCTCTGATCCTTCTTTCTCCCCCCTTATAAAATTCAAACATTTTGAAGCCGCGGCCCCATTTCCGGAATGTTTTTTCGAGGTCTATTAAACGTAAATCAAGCAGAACCAGAGAGGAGCTGGGAGCGTAGGAGAGTCCCTGCGTCAGCTTTTTAGGAGAGAAGGTGCTTAAAGGATGCGCGAAGCAGCTTTCGTTTCTCATCAGCACCTGCTGATAAAACACACACATCCAATTATTACATTTTTATGAACATAATAGCCTTTTTTTTTTTGCTGAAATTGTCACTCAGGAAGAATAACAGCACAGAAACCTGTTCTTTTAAAGGTTAGAAAAACAGACGCTGGCTCCAGTCACACCAGTTTGCCCACGAAGGGCGGCCACGGCGCTCCCCGTCCCCAGGATGGGAGATGCTGGGGGGGGAGCAGTGACAGGGGAGAGCCCCCCCCTCCCTCCTTCTGCCCCCCAAAACCCCCTGGTACCACTGCGGGTCAGTTTAAGACACAAATAATTACAAGTTTTAATTGCTTTTGGAAGCCGAGCTGGCTGGTTGGGGTAAGGCACGGACTTCGAGGCCCTGCCTAGAGCCTGCATTGGTTGAGAAAGGTGGGACCAGATGATTTTGGGGTCCCTTCACACCCCAGAGGATTTAGGGATTTCTAAGGGCTGGACCCCCCCTCCTCTGCTGGGAAGGGGGAGCAGTGACAGGGGAGAGCCCCCCCCTCCCTCCTTCTGCCCCCCAAAACCCCCTGGTACCACTGCGGGTCAGTTTAAGACACAAATAATTACAAGTTTTAATTGCTTTTGGAAGCCGAGCTGGCTGGTTGGGGTAAGGCACGGACTTCGAGGCCCTGCCTAGAGCCTGCATTGGTTGAGAAAGGTGGGACCAGATGATTTTGGGGTCCCTTCACACCCCAGAGGATTTAGGGATTTCTAAGGGCTGGACCCCCCCTCCTCTGCTGGGAAGGGGGGCTGAGAGAGTTGGGGGGGTTCAGCCTGGAGAAGAGAAGGCTCCGGGGAGACCTTGGAGCCCCTTCCAGTCCCTCAAGGGGCTCCAGGAAAGCTGGGGGGGGACTCTTCATTGGGGAGGGGAGCGTATGGGAGGAGGTGGGAGGATTTTAAGCTGAAAAAGGAGAGATTTAGGTTAGATTTCGGGAAGGAATTCCTTATTTTGAGGGTGGTGAGAGCCTGGCCCAGGTTGCCCCGAGAAG